CCCCAAAACCCCAAAACCCCAAAACCCCTTATACCAGAATTAAATTGAAATAATAAGTAAATTAATCGCAAATCAAATACCGAAATCAAATATATTGCTAAATTGATGTACCTTCCAATGCTTTAGTTGTTTGATAGTATCACTTCTTTACCTAAGAATTAATTTGCTTTTGTAGGTCTTCTTCAGACTCAAGCATTTTCCTCATAACTTGAATAATCAATTGTACGAACTCATCCTTTGACACTTTCTCGTCATAATCTTCATCTAATTCTCTAAGGACTGCATCAATGTCACCATCAGTGGGAGGCTTAACTTTCATTTCATAAGCTACGTTCTTCATTACTTCTGCTAACTCATTTTTTTCCAAAAATCCACTCCCATCTAAATCAACAGCATCAAATGCGAGATCTGAAACAATCTTAATCTTATCTTATTAGGCTAGAATAATCTCAAGGATCTTAAGCAGATTTGACTTCTTTTCGAACTATGACATACTTTAGCAATTCAAATTAAATAGAATAATTATGAAATTAAGTTAATCTTCTTAATTAAGCCAATTAAAATTATCACTTTCTTTGTCAGAATATATTTCTTTCAACACAACCAGCAGTATAAAGGAAATTCCTCCAGGTAAATTAAGTCAACAAGATGCCATTTGTTTTAGTTTTAAAAGATTTGATAAAGGAGGTGCTTGAGCTCTTCCCTGGTATTCTCTAAACTTATCCTTAATACTCGCTCTTTCCTTGCTGACTGAGGATCTTGTTCAGACTATAGAGTTCAATGGTTGCATCTTCAGTTCCTATAGCAATCATCTGATCATCCCAGCTAACATCAATACTCCAAATAGCTTTAGTTTGGCAGGTCTATATTATTTCAAGTGGAACTGCTTTGTTAATGTCAAATATCACTAACTACCCATACTCGTTACCAGAAATCAAATGATTTCCAGACTTTGAGAATTTGAGGCTTCTCACTGTTCCTGGGATAGTCAGCAGAATTCTCACACATTCCCCTGAGAGACAAGACCACCTATTAGGAAATTTTTAATACATTTCAATGATTACAATCTAATTTGCTTATCACTAGAGCCAGTAGCAAGATAGTGAACATTTGGATGAAACTCAATAGCCTCAACATCAGAAAGATGTCCAACAAAAATTCTTATTGGCACATGCTGCTTAATTTGCCAAAGTTTAGCAGTTCTATCATTTGAACAAGAAGCAAAGTAATATCCTAGTGGAGAGTATATCACATTCCACACTGGGAAATTATGTCCATTGTAAATACCTTGCAACTATTGCAATTGTAAATTCCAAAGTCGGACTATAATCTGTTATATCTTAAAGCTTACTCGATGTATCGAAGGAGCATGAAAGCATGGATTTATCATCTAGGAGTATAGTTAGCCCGTAAACTGGGCCAGAGTGACCATACAGCACATATTCCTTTTGGCTTTTCTTTTCCTCCATATCTGATCTTAAGTCCTTTATATTCAGAGTTTAAGTTTATGGATTAACCATTTTCCTTCTTTAAGCAAGCTAAATATTTATGCCAGGGTTATTTGGATTTTAAAGACCATTCTACTTTTCAAATTATTCCATTCTCACATCCTGAATGGTCACAGCCTCATATTATTCTGAATCAAGAATAAAAACTTTTATCATGCTATCCTGGTAGCCACAAGCCATAAGATTTCCTGATTGACTTAGAGTAATTGCAGTCAGTCTATAGCGAAGACACTTAATGAGAAATAGATGCTTACTATCTGCAAGTATGATAAAGATCAACACAAGCAATTGATGGTAGATTTTTTTCACTCAATTTTGCTTATTAATTTAACTCTGAATAAATTTTTGCTTATAAATCATCATCTCTAAATAATGTTAGTTAAATTTTTGGTAATTACAATCTTGATGGAATCAGAGTGCTTGGTTCAGTCATTATATTTTGAACTTGCTTTTTCAATTTCTAAATTGATTTTAAGTGGGATGTAATTATAGTTACCTTCTGCTGTAATTGATCTGCTGCTTGCTGGCTAGCATTTTATTGACTTTGATTTGCAGGAGTGGCTTAGTTTGGATCTGACACACTCGCTGGCATTTATTGATTTTAAATAGCATACTCAGGACTGAAATGCGGTAATTTACCTAACAAAAGTTCAGTCTTATTGATCTCTTGAACACTGTCTGAAATAAGATAACTTGTGAGACCATTAAGATCTACAATAGTTTTCTCACCAGAAAGCTAAAAGGTCACATTCTGGTTCAAGATTTGCATTATCAAAATGAATTGATTAAGCTTGACATAATGCATGAGGAGTTAGGAGGCATAGACTGACATTTTAACTAGGAACTTATTGTTAAGGAAGTTTTAAACCTCGGGGATTGAGAGCTTTGCTACTGAATCCACTTATTCTAAGATGTTCAATTCCTCACTCTATTTCATCATAAATTAACCTTTCTCCTCATTAAAGAAATGCTTAGCCTGCTCATAGTATTAAGCTTGAATCATATTGAGGAATAAATGTGAGAAAATTGGAAAGAGCACATTCATCAAATCCTCTTTGTATTAATCAAGAGATTGATCAATGTACTTTTTCAGCAGTTTGAATGACTCTGTGTAGTGATCTGGCGAGTCTCCATTGAACACTGCTTGCATCGTTGATCCATGAGCACCTCCTCCTCCACCAAATAATGCATTAGCAGTCATTGCGAATCCCATTATGTTATTTAGGGAATGAGATGCGAAGTCTCCACTCTGCTAAAGCGCTTCAGTAGTCTCATCTTACTCTGCCTAAAATCAATATAAATAGGTAATTTACTGTACCCCAAATTTGTCTCTGATTTTCTAGGAGAGCTACTTCTCACCCTTTAACTCCATATAATTGATCACGCATTCATTAAGTAACTTCTCCTACTTAGAGGAAACAAACCTCCGCAATTGGTTATTTTGCTGCTAGGCATTTGTATTGTCACTCATATTTATTTATTAAGCTTAAATATTATTATGCTCTTTATATACATTTTAATATTGGACTTTGGGGTTTTGGGGTTTTGGGG